GGGCATGTTTGATTGAGTGGATTAGAGTATGGGATTAGAATCCCAATTATCCTATATTTGTTTTAACATTTTGATTTAGGATTATTAATGCAATGGATAATTAATCCAACAAATTTGTAGGATTATTAGTAATGAGGTAGGGTGAGATTATTAATCCAATGGATATTAATCCATTGGATAGTGAATACCACATTAATTTAAGGTCATGTTTGATTCACAAGATTAATAGTGAAGTATTAATAATCCTATTAAATTAGTGTGGTATTCACTATCCAATTGGATTAATATCCATTGGATTAATAATCCCACCCCTACCCCATTACTAATAATCCTACAAATTTGTTGGATTAATTATCCATTGGATTAATAATCCTAAACCAAAATCTTAAAACAAACATAGGATAATTGGGCCCACGGATTAATAATCCTAATCCCATGCTCTAATCCACCCAATCAAACATGCCCTAATAGGATTATTAATACTTCACTATTAGTCTTGTGAATCAAACATGACCACTGAGATTTGAGAGATGGAGATATATTACTTCAATCCTAAGAATTGGAAAATTCTTATATTAAAGCCTTATATATATATACTGGTGTGCGCGTGGAAAGTATAGATGGACAGATTGAATTATTTTGTAAGCAGGTTAACAAATTTTAACCAATATGACAATTGACCATTAATTTTTATCACCCAACCCACTCACTTGATCGCATAAATTTGTTTAGGTCAATTTAAGCTGGTGTGTGTTGATGATTATGCCCCTCATTCTAAGAGCATCATTTGAATTAAAAACCCATGATTACTATTAGAATTCGTGGCAGTAGATTAACGCACTTTGGTGTTCTATCTCCAATGTATTTTTGTTGTTCTTTTCCCTTGCTAATTGTGTTGGGTCTTCTTATTATAGCATACTCTACAACCATACTATTAGGTCATGTTTGTTTGGGTGGACATGAGCTTGAGATTGGATTAATAGTCCAATAAAATTATTAATTCGATATTTGGTTAAACAATTGAAGTATGAATTAATTATTTTAAACTTGACTATTAGTTAAGATAGGATGCATAATCCAATGGATTGGTAGTCCTAGGACTATTAGCCATGGGAATACTAATCCAGTCCGCCCAAACAAACACGGCCTTAGAGTACATACTCATTTTCTAAACTAATAAATATTTTCCGCACAAATGTAGGGTTGATTTGAGAAAGAATTTTTTGGCTAAAATATGAGGTGAAAAGTATTTGAGAATGACTTTTTAATTTTTTATAAAAGAATATGCTAAATGTGGAGAAAATGATAAAGAATTTTGACTTTTTTATATGACTTTTTAAGTTTTTAGTGACTGTTTGATTTTTTAAGGGCAAATTACATATACACCCCTCGAGGTTTGACTAAATTACAGATACCCCTGAGGTTTCGGAAATTACATCCCGCCCCCTGAGGTTTGTATTTTCATAATAATTTGCCCCCTGAGGTTTATATTTCATAACAAATTACCCCCTAATTTCTTATGCAAATATAGCATTCAGGGGAGAATTCGTAATTTCTCAAACCTCAGGGGGCATCTGTAATTTAGCCAAACCTCGAAGGGTGTATATGTAATTTGCCCATTTTTTAACTAAAAAAATCAATTGCCAAATGCACCTCTAATCATTTTATTGGACATATTCTCAGCTCAATCAATAACAAATCATTCATTAAACGGTTCAGCTGCAGCTATTTGAGAACTTCTAAATAAGTTAAATCTTTTTGATTTTTTTTTTTTTAATCTTTGATGATTGTTTTTTAAAATTATGTTAAAATTTTTTATTTTTTTCCATTCATCTTATGTAGATGAATTTAAAAAGTAAAAAATAAAAATAAAAATTTAAAAATTAATTTTTCAATTTCTCACATGGAATAAGATCTAATTTTTTTTTAAAACAACAACAACAACAACGACAAACACCCATCCTAAGATTCATGAGGAAGTGTACGGCCACAGATTCATTCTAGATCTCCAGGTAAAGTGACACGTGTCAAAAGTAGGTGAGACTATTCATTCATGCCAACCATGTCAGGCTGGCAGTTGCAGCTACTCGATCTCTCTGGCTAACAAATATGGGAGGAAGAATGTTAAACACATCAAGATTTTATAATGTAAATTCTCAATTATGATTTTATATTAAATTAAAAGAATAATAAAGAATATAATAATTAAGGGTAAATTATAAATATATTTTTTAAAATTTAATTAAAATATGAATTGCTCCTTGTGATTTTGAAAATTACATTATACCATCTGAGGTTTCTAATTTCATAACAAATTGTTATTTTTATTAATAAATTATCAAGTCAATTAACAGTTTTTAATTATGTTAAAAATATATTTTAATTAATAATTTGGTAATTTTATTATTATATAGGAGAACAATTATGAATTTTATTTTTTTTAGTTAATTCTGTTAAATAAAAAGTTCTAATAAGGGAGTATTTGTAATTTTTCAAACCACATGAGATAATCTGTATTTTAAGCAAATCTCACAAAGAGTATTTATAATTTACCCAATAATTAATGATTGGTGAAAGGTATTATTATATGAGGCTCTTGAATAATCAAATATTTTTTCAGATTCGTCACATATACTTACGTGTCAGTAAATGTTAACATTTGAGATATTCATTTCAAAATCTAATAATATGGTTATAAATATTGAAAAAAATTTAAAAACTTTAAACACTTAATAATTATAAATCATTGATTTTAATTTTTCATGATGTGTTTGAAATTTTATGTACGAAAATTAAAATCTCCATTTTAATATAAATTCACATAAAATTTCATATTTATTAGGATAGGGAGGAGATAGGAACGTAACAAATTTGGAATCACAAACTATGTTTATGTATCTATAATTAGTCGATACCAAATCTTACATTATAATTTTGGGCCATAAAAATTGGAACAACTCCTTTTAAGATTTCATTTTTTCTGTACTTTTTTAAGACTCCATTTTGTCGCTTCACGAAATCCACAACAGTGATTCGAACTGTTCAACTAGTAAGGCTAGTAAAAAAGAATATATATACAAAAAATTAATTTGATCGGACATCAATATAAAACAAAATACAATTAGTTAGTTTGTCTATTGATGTCTAAGCAAGTTAATTTTTACATATGTATTCTTATTTTTGAGACATACAAAATGAACGATTTAAATTATCATTCTGAATTCCGAATGTCATAGAGCCCACAAAATAGAATCTTGAGAGAATATAAAGGGATAGAGTTTTAAGGGAAGCTGCTCCCATAAAAACTGTTATTCTTGTTTAGGATTACTTTAATATAGAACGTTTGTGGTTACTGTTTATGTGTAAGCCACTAATCCTTAAAATGAGTACTTTGTTAACAACTTGAATGAAATTAATTATTGTCTTTAAAATGTTTGAAAAATTGACCAATGCTACATGATTGATTGCACATCACACAAGGCATATACTTGAGTCTATATAAAGTTGGTCAGAAGTGTAATTAACAAGTTGAGGAAGTAATCAAATCCCCGTCTAACCAAACTGTAACAACCCGTTAACTTCGGAATGTGATTTGTAAATAATTTTTTTGTTAAAAAAAAATAAGAAAAAGGAAAAGAAAAAGAAAAAGAAAAATTGCCTATCAAACCAATGTTGATGGTAGTTGAAATAACAAGTCATTTTCATGAATTTTTTTTTTTTTAAGTGAATGAATATTATTTTAATGCATCATTTTATAAAAATTTTACGTATAAATTTCTTATTTATATATAATTAATTTTGTAATTTCGAATATCTTTAATCATTGAAGTGAGGGTAAGAAATTTAATCCCATAAGTTTCTAGTAATCTCCAAAAAGCACCCTCCAATAATATCCCAAAATAAATAAATAAAATAATAATAAGAAATTTCCACAACACTTCCACACAGTGAAAGCAACCATCTTCCCACGCGCAATGAAACGACACTAGTCTTCTATTACACTAGACACGTTACATTTATTTATTTGGTGCAATTTATTGAATTTATTTATGATTTTTTATTTTAAAATTTAATATTAAATTATTTGATATAATTTTTATTTATGATTTATAAATTAATATAATTTAATTATTAAAAAAACTAAAAAAAATTAGTTTTAGTTTATTATTTTTAAATGTTATCTTTTAGTTTATAAAAAGATGCTGATTAATGAGACAGTTATTTATTTATTTATTTATTTATTTATGGCAAATAAGACTGATTGGAAATAGTAAGAGATAAAATATGTTCATTATTGTCATTATATATTTGTTCGTCATATATGTCATTCCAAACATTTTCAGATTATAATTCAAGTGGTCATAATAATTTAAATTTAGGCCTCGTTTGACAATATTATTTTTTAGTTTAAAAATTAAAAAATCACTAAAAAAATTAAAAAGTCAATAACTTATACAAAAAAAGTTAAAGATTCTCTTTTCTCTATATTTTTTACACATATTTTCGTAAAAAAATTAAAAAATTATCCCAAACATACTAATTTTTTTCCCTCATGTTTTAACTAAAAAATCAAAAAATTACTAAAATAGTCTGTTCTCAAACGAAGTCTTAGTAACTTACTAACCTCGTATCAAGTAATCAAAAAATAATAATAATAATAACAAAAATATTTTGGAACTCTAATTTGTGAGCTCTAATAACTCTAATGTGTATGTGGAGCCCATTTGATGTGACGTTTTAGTCTCTCTTTTTTTTTACTTTTTACCTCACTAAAGCTTAATTAAAATTATAATTTTAGAGGGATGCATTATTGTTATAATAATAATCCTTAAAAGCATAAAAGTGCTAAAAGCAAAGCGACCGTTGCTAATGCCAAATTTGAACTACTCTATGGAGCTAAGAGATTGAAACAACTTGCAATGATTGAGAGTGGTCATAGCATTTTTCTACTTTATATTTCAGATTTTTGTAAAACATTTTCTAGTTTTGTGGTGTCTTCTTCTCTCCAAGGACTTATATATATATGGCCCCTCTCATCTTCCCTCTCAACAAACCAAAAAACTCTCTCTCTCTCTCTCTAAAAATGGAGATGGAACCAAGTCCACAAGAAATAGCCAAGAAGCTATGGAACATAGCAAGAGCAATGTTCTTGATGTTAAGGACAGACATATCAAAGAGCAAGCCAATGGTTGATCTCCTCATGCTTCTAAAACGCGGCAAGCTTGCCGGAAAAGCCATAAGCAACCTCATGCTCCACCACCACTCCGCCCTCAGCTGCCGCTCTGATGACATCCACCTCTCCTTCGTTTCTCCCCGCGAATACGAGTTCAGTTGCAACAACAGCCCGGTTTATCCCTCGTACTACCGGCGAAAACACCACCACCATCAGCATCGCCGCCGCCACCACCATGACTACCATTCTGACGATGTCGTACAGAAGGTGTTTGATCTGTTGAATAGTAATGAGGTACTGGAAGCATCAGCATCTCCACTGGCGCTTCCAGGGTTCGGGCAAAGTCCGATAGTGAGGCAGTTGAGAATAACTGACTCACCATTTCCATTGAAAGATGGAGATCAAGAAGACAGTCAAGTGGACATGGCAGCTGAAGAGTTTATAAAGAAGTTTTACAAAGAGTTGAAGCATCAAAAGAGAATGGCTGCCCATCAAGAAAATCAAGAGAGACGGGCTGCCCCAGAATCTCCATCACCTTACCACATATGGGCTAGCTAAGCTAACCACAACATATTTCAATTAGGGTTTTTTAAACTAGTTACTCTTTGCAACATCGAAATCAAGTGATTTAGTAATCAGTTTTGCTAAGAGTACATATATTTTTTACGTAATTAATCACAAAAGGTTGGGCTCACTACTTCTTATTATGACCATGGCGTAATTTTTTTTTTTTTTTACTCTTAGGGCTAGTTTACTTGTGGAAGTGTGGTGGCTTCAACACTAAATGCAAAAGTCTTCTTTGGAAGATCATTGTGGGTCTTTTCTTGGTATAGTTGCTTCTCTCTCTTTGATGGTGTTAATTTGATTGTTGAGAAATAAATAAAGATTATTAAGTTCATGAATTTCTCTTTCTTTCTATAAAGTTTGTACCTACAAGGACTTGCTTGATAAAGAGAATTGGAAAAGTTTGGTTTGCCAATGAAAGCTGTTTAATGTAATGTATTGCCATTCAAGGTTGGTGGGTGGGAAGGTTTGGAATTATTGGGGTTTGTTTTGAAACTATTGTGACTTGTGTCCGTGCAACGGTCTCTTTTTTCTTTTTTTTTTGCTTTTTGGGCTAGTGTTTCCTGTGGTCTGGAATCTTGACCTATCATTCTAAGTAGTTGGGATGTCACCTGTCAAGCACAACAGAGAAATATGTGATGAAATTTTTATTTACTTTTTTTAATTGTTTTCAAGAAGTAGTAAATTGGGTTAGTTTAATGAAAAATGTTAGACTTAAAAAATTTAACAAATTTTATATTAAATATTTCACATGAGTGTGAGACTCACACCATAATATTACTCTGGTTTAATTGCCCCAAAAAGAAAACAAAAACACCCGGAAAAAAAAAGAGATTAAAAAAAAAGAAAAGAAAGAGTAAGATATATTAGCTTGAGGAAATCAACCTGACTTGCATATACAATTTGCAGCAGATATATACACATACAGGATAACAAACATTTGTTTGAAATCCTAAAATGTAGAGCAGTTGAAACTGTTTCCTAACTCTAAGGTACAAGTATTTCAAATGAATTCAAAATGGAGAAACTAAAGGGCTGTTACAATCTGTTACAAGCTTGTGATAAGATACTCCTATGTGTGGTTTACATCAAGAGAGGAAAGTTTTAATTTTTTTTTTTTCAAATACTTTCAAGAAGTGCTAAATTGGCTTAGTAAAACTGTCCCCAAAAACAAAATCAAAAAATAAAAATAAAAATAAAAATCAGAGTTAGTGACATATCCCTTCGTGGCTTACAGCTTGTAGGGAATCTTGGTTTAAGTTTAGGGTTAGCAATCATCTTCTTGTTAGACTGTCATGGACCCTTCATTTTTATTTTTATTTTTAATTTTTAAATAAGACATATGATATATGTATATATATGTAAAAATTATATTTTGGATTATTATAGTACATGGTTTACATAGCAGGCATTATCAATGGTTTTAAGTCTTGTCTCTGGAAGAGGTCCCTCGCCAAGTGGCTCTATTTGGTTCCATGGACTCTAGTCATACTGTATAATTCAAGCTTGTTGAGCCCCCATTCAAAGAAAGAAAAGAAAAATTAAGGTCAATTTTCATATATATGAAAATTTCTTTTGTAAAGATGTGTTTGGTTTGGTTTTGAGAGATAAATTTTAAAAAAAAAATTTAGGAAGAGAGTTTAGAAATTTTTTTGATTTGTTTGGTTGTATATTTTAGAAATAATTTTGGAGTATGGGACTTTGGGATGATTTGATATTTTGTTATAGTTGAGTTGATATGTGTGAGAGAAAGAGTGATTGAAAAAGAGAGAGGAGGGAGAAAAAATGATTGATTGATGTGTAGGAAAGAGAAAATGATTTTGGAAATTGTTTACCAAAACTACTAAACCAAACAAAATCGACCCCGCTACGTAGCTCGAAAGAGTTTGGCTCGAATTTGGCTCGACACCAAAACGACGTCGTTTTGGTGTCTTTTTTTTTTTTTTTCCTGTATTTTTGTTGCAAAAGGAAGAAGAAGAAGAAGGGTGGAGAAGAAGAGAAGGAGAAGAGAAGGAAGGAGGAGGACTGGAGGGGGCATAATCACAGGGGGAGAAGGAGGCGGAGGCGGAGGCGGAGGCCGGAGGCGATGGCGCTGGTGTTGCGACGATCTCTGGTGCTGTGACGATCGGCGGCGGCGACGGTGGTGCTGCGACGATCTCCTCTCCTCCTCTCTCTTTCTCCCTCTCTCCTCCTCTTTCTCTTCTCCTCTCTTCTTCCTCTCTGCTCTCCCTCTTTCTCCTCTGTCTCTGTCTTCGAATTTGAATTCGAGTCAAAATCGGACCACTTTTTTCGAGCTACCAGTCATTTTCGAAACAAAATTTTGAAAAATTTTCTCCAAAATTACTCTCTCAAAATCAAACCAAATAAGGCCTATTCTCAAGAATAATTGTCAGCCAATATTTAATAAGAAATTGTATTTATCATCAAATTTATTTTATTCCTTTATTTTACTTCATGTATGTATTCATGTAATAAAAGTCCCATTGAGGCCAATTTTGCTAAACAATGAGCAACCCCATTCCCCTCTTGATGAATATAACACTCAAAAAGATAGAATATTAAAAATTATCATGCCACATAAAAAATAAAAAATAAAAAGAAGAAGAAATATTTGGCAAAATAGGCAAACCTCATATTAAATACTATAAGTTGGCCTTACCAATTTATGTGGAAGATATTTATAATCATTAAATATGGGGTAAGGCTTCTCTCCCATTCAAATTGGACTGGAGAGTGTTATTGAGCCTCCGTGGATCCGCCACAAAGCATGTATCAATAATCTGAACCGTTTAATGTATAAAGTTCGTTGACTACTTTAGATTTATAAAAAATTTCATTGATCGGATATCGATAAATACTTAATCAAATAATATTTGTGTCAATGGTAATTATAATTTTTAAAATAAATTGTTAACACAAATGTGATCAGATCAAGTGTGTATCGATATCCAATCAATGTGATTTTTAATAGGGATGAAATACTCAATGAACTTTACATATTGAACGATTCAGATCATCTGTGCGAGTTCCATGATGGCCCAAGGAGGTCCAATAGTAACCTCAAGTCAAATTTCCCAATTACAGAGAATCCTCTCCCTAAATATGGGTGCTCAGATGCCACACATATATCTATAATAATAATTAATAATTGATACTAATTTTAATAATTGATGAGCAAATTGATAATTTTTATATTAAAATCACAATTAACAATAATAATAATAAAGAAAATAAATACAGATATAAATAATTAAAATGAATATATAAAAAATAATATGTAATGAAATCATAGCATTAATATAAATTAGAACATGAATATTAATTTTAATGAATTAATAAATTAAACAAAATTAACAATGAAAGAAGAGAAGAAAAAAAAAATTAAAAAAAAGGAAAGAAAATAAGGTGAAAAAGAAAATAAAATAAAATAAAATAAAAAAAGAAAAAAGAAAAAAATGTATTATAATGAAATCACAAATTTTATATCTTATAAGGGTAAAAATGACAATTATACAGTAAAAAAACTATTTTACAGCTTATTTACAAAACACTACTCTGCTGTTTAAATCCATAATTTCACAGTTATACCAAACATGTTACCAGCTTATGTTCACAGCTGTAAGTTATAATCTGTTAAGTTATAATGCATAATCATTTTCTCACAATTCTACCAAACGGAACCAATAGGGTGACGACAACACTCTCAAAATACAAAAATCTCATGATACAATCGTAACATTAAAGAGTATTGAGTACAAAGGAACAATGATTTTAGGTATGGGACATAATATTCTAATAGTGTTTTTGGTTGCAAATTTTGAATTTTTATGGTGTGTTTGGTTGAAAGATTTGAAGAGGGAATTGAAAAAGAAAATGAAAAATGTTGGTGAAATATGAATAAAACATACATATAAAAAACTATTTTACAGCTTATTTACAAAACACTACTCTGCTGTTTAAATCCATAATTTCACAGTTATACCAAACATGTTACCAGCTTATATTCACAGCTGTAAGTTATAATCTGTTAAGTTATAATGTATAATCATTTTCTCACAATTCTACCAAACGAAACCAATAGGGTGACGACAACACTCTCAAAATACAAAAATCTCATGATACAATCGTAACATTAAAGAGTAGTGAGTACAAAGGAACAATGATTTTAGGTATGGGACATAATATTCTAATAGTGTTTTTGGTTGCAAATTTTGAACTTTTATGGTGTGTTTGGTTGAAAGATTTGAAGAGGGAATTGAAAAAGAAAATGAAAAATGTTGGTGAAATATGAATAAAACATACATATATTTGATCTAATTTTACATATTTTTTTTCTTTTCTTTTCTAAATCTTTCTGTAAATTCTTCGACCAAACACAACATTAGACAACTAGCATTTTAGTCCAAATTACCAAAATAAAGATGGCAATGACTTTCCAAGTTAATGCCTCCTCACTAGTCTCAAAGTTCTACATCTACATTTCACTTTAAGCGAAAGGTGTCATTTCAACTCCATAAAAACTAGTCCCACTTATATAAATGTAAAATTGTAGGAATTTATTTTTATCAGTCAACTACAAAATTGTTTGTGCTGTATTTGTATTTAATTGTTTTGTCTTTTATAATTATAGATAGAAATAATTTTTGAACAACTAAGTAACTAAATTGGCCGTCATTAAATAATTTACATTTGTTTTGATTATTACTACAAATATAAAAAGATAAATACTAGTTTGTGACATAGTATTATATTTGACATGATTGTAAGATTAAGGATTGGTTTGGTATAACTTAAAAAAGTCAAATAGGCACTATCCTATTTAAGTCACATCATCTTATTTAAATCACATTACTTCTCTAACACATCACATCAAACCCAATCCATATAAGTTAATAAGTCAAAAAGTGCACTTTTTTAGAATATCCTAAACCAACCCTAAATATCATCCTTGTAATATTCATTTTGCACCAATTAATTCTTCAAGATTAGTATATAACAATCAACCGGTCGAGATCGCCAATCACCCATATCATGTGCTAAATCTTGCTATGGAATCACTAGCACAAATATCATATGGCAACACCTGTTTGATTGGGGGAAATATCCTAAACCAACCCTAAATATCATCCTTGTAATATTCATTTTGCACCAATTAATTCTTCAAGATTAGTATATAACAATCAACCGGTCGAGATCGCCAATCACCCATATCATGTGCTAAATCTTGCTATGGAATCACTAGCACAAATATCATATGGCAACAAATATAGGAAGTTTTCAACGTGTAAGTTTAGTGTCTTCATAGTTTACACGGAGTGCATAATGATATTTAAAAAAA